CTAGAGGGCGCTATGGGGAACGGTACACCCACGCTGCTATGCTGAAGGGATGAGTGCATTATTGGCTGAACTAAGTCAAAGACTCAAAGGAGTCCTCACCCCTGCACCAGCAACACGACCATAGACTGGAGCTTCTCAAGAACGGAGGCCTCAACAGGAGATAGCAAGCCTAACTACGTTCTTATTGAGGCCAGCATCCAAGAAGGCTCACCGAGAGCCTAATATTTAGAGCCAACTGGCCCATGAATCTCTGCAAAGTGGTGGCCTAAATACAACATCTCAATGAGAGGCGGCCTACCAACACTCCATACTATCTTGCCAATACCTAGCCGAGCTCTAGGAGCGGAGGCATCAGCATGACGACTCTCTAAAATGAGCGGAGGCCTATCTCTGTTGGGCAGAGGCCTCAAAGAAATAACTCTCTGTAGTGAGAGGAGACCTGATGATGCTCGCAGTAAATGGCCAAACTCTAGGAGCGAAGGCCACAGCATAATGACTTTCTAAAACAAGAGGAGGCCTAACTCCACCCCACGCTCAGGACATCTTGTAAGGAGGCTCACAGACAGCCTACAACTGTCCTAGCAGAGCTCTGGTGAGCGAAGGCCTCAATGAAGGTAACTCTCGGCAGCGAGAGGAGGCCTAACGATGCTCGCAGTAGACGGCCAAGCTCTAGGAGTGGATTCCTCAGCATGACGACTCTCTAAAACAAGAGGAGGCCTAATTATGCCCCAAGCTCAGGACATCCTGTAAGTAGGCTCACAGAGACACTACAACTCACAGATGCTGTCCTAGCAGAGCTCTGGCGAGCGGAGGCCTCAATAAAATAACTCTGTATAGCGAGAGGATGCCTGATGACGCTTGCAGTAGCCAAGGAGGCTCAAATAGAGCCTAACAACTTAGCAAGCTGCCTAGCCGAGCTCTAGGAGCAGAGGTCTCAGCTTAACAACTCTCTAAATTGAGAGAACACCTAACTACGCCCCACACTCAGGACGTCTTGCAGAGAGGCTCACAGCAGTATTACCAAAGACAGTAACTAAGGAGACTCACAGAGAGTCTACTACTTAGTAAACTGTCTGAAATAGATGACACATTCACAACCAGCCTCTAATGCCGAACCATCATAAGGCAGATGATGGAAAGAAATATGCTGCCAATAACATCATAGGTCCAGCTTCAGGGCCAGATGTAAAAGCGACTCATAGCCTCCACCCAACCTCAATCAGGGGATGGGGGACGGAAGGAGGCAGATGTTAATTAGCCTCTGGGACCCTAGAACGCTCTGAGCGATTACTCTGGATCACTTCCCTGAGATCTTTCCTTCTCCCTCTAGCTTCACGGTTCCTCCATGCTCTACCCCTGCAAGAAGCAGTGCTTGCCTTCTGGTCTCGCCTCCAGTCCTCAGACTGGGACGGGCCAGCCCCCGTCATGGCTTGAGGCTTGGTCCAGGTCCTTCAGCAGGTCAGCCTGGTAGGCCTGCAGTGCAGCCATTGTGTGCAAAGCTGCCTCTGCCTGACCTGCTGCCACATATGCTCTGCCATACAGCCATGATGTAACACGCAGCGGCTTAGTCGGCATCTTCAATGCGGATGCCTCACCACCAGCGAGATAGCTAGCCAGCGTCTCTTCAATCAGAGAACTGAAGAACAAACGGTCCCCAAAAAAAAAAAAAGAAAAGAGGATAACGCATTTTACAGGAACCCTTTTATACTCTCGGCTGCACCAGTTGTGACGTCATAGGCTGCTGCCTGCCTGTAAAGTTCATTGTCGTGTTTAGATTCATGCTTCAGACAAGGGTCATGTCTGAGGCATTCCCCATAGCGCCCTCTAGGGGACGCAGCGTAGAGTTCCCATTCAAAAGGGAACTTGGACGAGAGCAGAGCAGTATTATCATTAATTATCAAAAGAGATACAGTTGTTGGTTTCAATGTAGTCACACACTAACATGTTAAAACAAAGTAAAACTCTGTGCACATTATAGCAAGGGATGATAGGTTTGCGGGATTGCTTTGCACATAGTATTAAACATTCCTGAAACTTCCGTCGTCACAACTCTATGAATAATATAAAAAATAATAAACTAAACAATTACACTTGCAGTAAGCACATATTTTGTGGTCAAAATAAGCCTTAAAAGAAAAATAATAAGCCTGATTAGGGATAGTAAATATCCATTTCCAAAAGCATAAAAATAACTTTTAAAAAAATAATTTGAAAAGTTGTAATTACTTTATACTCACAGTTTTTGAAAATGTTAAATAGTCAGAAAACGTAAAAAAAAAGAAAATAAAATGTTAGTTTTATTTATCATATGTTTTTATTTGCCATTCATCATCAATTTATTTATCATATGTATACTGTTTTATGTTTAATGTGTTTTTGTAAAGTCATAATTTTGTTATAATCCTATTTTGATTTGTTTACTATTTGCAATAGTTACTATTTACTTTTCATAGTGTAAGTTTTGGTGAACTGTAGGCGTATTAATAAACTAGGGTAAGTTTTATTCTCAAAAAATCACTGTAATTATTAATAATGATATTAATATATGGAAACCACAACAATGAAAAAAAAAACATGTATTGCCCCGTCTTTTTTTAAAATTTGTAGATAATCACAAGTGAGATTTCAATTATATTTTGACCACATAACTAGAGAGGGGGGGGGATATAAATAAATAAATGTACTTACTCTAATGTGACTCCAAACCCATATGTCTTTGTCATCCATGAAACGTTACGCAGGTATGAACGAGAGGATGGTTACTGTAATTTTTGTCAGCCCCAAGTCAGTACAGAAGTAGCAAATATGCTTATTGTGATGTTCGTAATCCAGGTTACTAAAGATAAACAGGTCATTATTGACTCAAAATATTGCTCCTCATATTTGAATCTGGCAGGCACGAATTTCTGTTCGTTTACATAAGCGCAGGGCAGTGAGCGCACCCAACACCATAAACAATTGCGTCAACTTCCGGAGACTGCGCATGCAGTTTTTGGCGCTGTTGCGTGAACACGTGTTCCGTCATTGCGCATTCTCCTAAACATTAAAAAAAAAAACTGAATGAAACAACAAAAGTAGTACTGAAGAAGTACTTTGCCAAACTTCACTTTTGCTACCCAAGTACAGTGGGTACGGAAAGTAGTCAGACCCCCTTAAATTTTTCACTCTTTGTTATATTGCAGCCATTTGCTAAAATCATGATTGGTTATCAAAGCAGTGTGAGGATTATGAGTCAACAATGAAATTTAGATACACACAAATAATTCAGAAACATAAACAAGCCCAGCCCCTTGGCTCCCATCTTCTCCCTTTGGCTTCAACCACATGTCAGCTTAGCATGTCATTGTTTGAAGGCCTCGACCTTAGCCGCCCGCCCACCCCTGACTCCAGTTAGGGGGCTTAAGGTTGAGGCAATACTTTAATGAATCCAATGTGGGAATTTTCAATATACGGTTCACACTCAACTAGTTATCCTGAACAATGAGAGCTGGAGAAGCCCACAGCTGGCCACAGTACAGCAAGACTGGGCTGCCAAACGTTTATGATAATGGCCATTCACTAGCACAATGCGGGATTAGCAGCGCAATGAACTTGGAAAGTGTCCACCACAGTTCTCACTCCCTCTCTCTTCCTCACCCAGTCCCCTTGCAAAAAGGTATGTATAAAATTTCATTTATAAAAACAAAACATTATAAGAAAATTGTCATGAGCAATTTTGCTTCTCAAATAGATTCATCATGCTTAAAGAACATTTTAAAGAAATACTAATGCAGGTTTGGATGTTTATATTCGCATATAATTTTTAAATGACTTCATAGAGTCCTCTGTTGACAAGTTGTCATTGTGTGAACATCTGATCATACTTCTGATGTGGATTTGTGTGCACGTTGTGCATCTGTGTGTGTTTTCGTGAGTCTTCTTTGAGGGCTGCTGCCATATTCTCTCTGTATTTTCTCATTTCAGAGGGTGATTGGTATTTGGATGGATTTGTCTATCAGACTCAGTGAGTGATGGCTAGAGCTTTTAACAAGTTAATTTTCTAGTCCAGTTTCCCTGTGATTGCTGGGAGACAGCACGATCCTGGGAGAATTAAGTCTTGCTATCTCCAGTGCTGCATTGTATTGGAGCCCTGCAAACCGCTCCGCTCCAAAGAAAGAGATTTAGATGTTGTGTCATTGACTGATAAAACCCTCCATCCATACAGATTCAGACAGACAGAGAGAGAGACAGAGAGAGAGAGAGAGACAGAGAGAGAGAGAGATCAACATCCATTGGAAAATAAATACCTAATGCACATTCTTACAATATGCATGTTAACCCTTGATGATTTTATGATTGTTAGTTTATACTTTTTAGTAGAAGTAAAAGGCCTTTTAGTATCATTTTAAAAATATGCATATACATGTGTAATTTTGCTGTGAAATCTTTAATGATTTGTATAAAGTAAATTTAAGACTAACTTGTATATTTAGTAATATTTAAAGATGAACATACTAGAGTGAAGCAACTCACTGTAGGTTTACTTGCTTGTTTTTATTTTTTTAAATGATTGAATATGATTTCTTGCCCCACAATTAAAACTACAGAGCTCTGAACATAAAACTAACCATTTAAATAGCATCTTATACTTATATATAAGACATTATTGGGATTTAAAAAAAATATATATATTATTACTTATTTATTTTTATTTGTTTTGGTCCTCGAGTGTGAGCTCCATATTCTCACTATATATAATACTATATGGGCCATAAAAGCCTTATGCATCAAATATTATACAAAACAAAAGTGTTTCAAATGATCAGAAACATACCTAAAGTTTCAATAAGCAGTTCAAAACTATTTTGTGTGTCAGGCTTTCCAGGTTAAAAATGCTGCATTTTAAAATAATTCACATTTCATAATAGTAGACAATGCATGCTCCAAAAGACTTCATGTAACAGAACTTTTAATAAATAATAATACATTTTCTTCAAGTATTCTTCATTTTTCTTTCCGCCCTTCCCATTTACTGTATACCTGATTCCTTGTGAATTTAATGGCCAGCCACCATTTGAGTAATTTCATACAGCCAAGTCATCCATAACCAAGACAGAAACGAATGAAGACTTTAACACCTGCTGCTCCTGGTGTCCAACGTGGAGTTTGATAGATCAGGGGGATGTCTGAAGAAATCCTCCTCAGGCGGGTTCCCCACCTTTCTGTCAAGAGACAGGGGTCATTAAGTGCTTTAATTTTTTTTAATAGCAGAATTAATCCATTCTAATAGGTCACTCAGTTCAGAGGCAAATATAAGTAAGGCATGGGAACAGAGCAATACATCTGCCTGCTAAACATACTAATCTGTCTGTTATTATTATTCTGGAAATAATTACCTCAGCCCTGAGAGGCATACCCGGAAAAATTAGGCGATCAGGAATGTCGGGGATGAGAGAGGGCCTCTAAGCTGAATTAAGCAGGGACGGGCCCTGCAGGATTGCTGCTTGACACCGGCTGAGAGAAGATGAGATGGCGTCCTCGGGCCTCTTCATACTGACGGCGCTCTTGGGAGACAGAAAGAGACGAAGGCTGGGAGAGAGAAGAGGCTGCCACATGTAGCCAACTGTCAAATTTAGTCCTGGAAAAGAAAAGAAAAAGAGGCATAGATATATGTTAGGAAATTTTCTCCTGGAATGGAGACAAACACAATGTTAAATGATCTGAGGGGGGAAAAACAGGAGACACTGGTGAGGTGTGTATTTGTATATTTTGTGTACAAATATGTGTACTGACAAGTTTATAGATAAACAGGCAAGCTGAATATAATGGGCTTTTCACACATGAAATTGTTAACCCAGGGACTTAAACCATGGATAAATGTAATCCCGGGTTATCCTATTGCATTTTTCCCATTGCTCATCCTTTATCATGGGTTACTAATTAATCCTGTTTAATCAAGTTTCAAGTTTTCACACTGCACGCTTGTAAACCCCAGGTTAGCATTATAATTTACATATTTATGAGGTAAATAAAACTGTTTGGACAGTTTGGAATGGGTATACGTCTTTTTTTAATAAAAATGCCTTTAATAACTGTCTGTAAAACTTTTGGCACCTAAATCCGCTCAAGTTGTTTTAAACTTAGATTAATAAATACTGCTTCATCTTTACTTAAATTAATGTGGTTTTATTGCATTTTTAGTTTAATTTCATTAACATTACTGTCACTTTATTTGTGTATATGTAGTGATTATATGTAATATACAGTACGTGACCATTCAAAATATGTTTTTTTAAGAAATATTTTGTTTTATTATTTAGCAATCCTTGGATTAAATTGAGCATTACATTTAGCATTAAATTGGTTAAAAATGACAAAAAAGACCTTTACAAATGTTACAAAAATATTTCTTTTTAACTTTCTATTCTACGTTTCATCACATAAATAAAATACATTTTGAAAAAATGTATCACAAAAATGTTAAGCAACAACTCTTTTTAACACTGATAATAAAAATAGATGTTTCTTGAGCCACTGAAGCCTGGAGTGATGGCTGCTGAAAATCCAGCTTAGTCATTACAGGAATAAATTACAATTTAAATTATATATATAAAAAAATAAATACATTGAAATATTATTCCCTATTACAACTTCTTTAAAAAATATTTTATTTTATTTTATTTTATAACTTTATTTTTGATCAAATAAATGCAGCCCTGGTAAAGCATAAAAGACTAACCAATTAATAAATAAATACATGTGAATGCAGCGGGAGTAATAATCGGAAAGGGAACTCTAAATTCAGCTGACTACGCCACCCTGTCCAACAGGGAAAATAAATTATGAATTGGTCACCTATAAAGGACACACAGGAATGTGGTTTCAAAGACAGAGGCCTGAGACGTGGATACCAAAGTACAAAAGCTTTATTTCAACAATAATAAAATACTAACCTTAAAAATCATTAAACTGATTAGATTTACAAACATAGAATACACACGTAACTAACAAAAACCGAGGCTTACCTATGGCAGGTAAGCTAGTTTACTGAGCGCGAGGCTCCTATATTGCAAAAATCTAACCACCAGGTGCATAGATCTCACTACACCATACACACACACACACTATAAGATTAAGCGCGAACACACTGCATTCCGTGACAGAGTCCCACCACCGCACACGAGGGCCTACTATCGGCCTGCCTGGAAGCCTCGGTTCCTGCAATAGAAGACCAAATAATCTCAAAACAAAAGAAATAATGCTAACAATTGTACAATGCTTACACTTAAATACAAAATCCAAAAGAAAATCAAAACACCTGCTATGAGGTTAAATGTCTCATCAAATCGAGGTAGATGTTCGTCTTTTTTTAATAAAAATGCCTTTAATAACTGTCTGTAAAACTTTTGGCACCTAAATCCGCTCAAGTTGTTTTAAACTTAGATTAATAAATACTGCTTCATCTTTACTTAAATTAATGTGGTTTTATTGCATTTTTAGTTTAATTTCATTAACATTACTGTCACTTTATTTGTGTATATGTAGTGATTATATGTAATATACAGTACGTGACCATTCAAAATATGTTTTTTTAAGAAATATTTTGTTTTATTATTTAGCAATCCTTGGATTAAATTGAGCATTACATTTAGCATTAAATTGGTTAAAAATGACAAAAAAGACCTTTACAAATGTTACAAAAATATTTCTTTTTAACTTTCTATTCTACGTTTCATCACATAAATAAAATACATTTTGAAAAAATGTATCACAAAAATGTTAAGCAACAACTCTTTTTAACACTGATAATAAAAATAGATGTTTCTTGAGCCACTGAAGCCTGGAGTGATGGCTGCTGAAAATCCAGCTTAGTCATTACAGGAATAAATTACAATTTAAATTATATATATAAAAAAATAAATACATTGAAATATTATTCCCTATTACAACTTCTTTAAAAAATATTTTATTTTATTTTATTTTATAACTTTATTTTTGATCAAATAAATGCAGCCCTGGTAAAGCATAAAAGACTAACCAATTAATAAATAAATACATGTGAATGCAGCGGGAGTAATAATCGGAAAGGGAACTCTAAATTCAGCTGACTACGCCACCCTGTCCAACAGGGAAAATCAATTATGAATTGGTCACCTACAAAGGGCACACAGGAATGTGGTTTCAAAGACAGAGGCCTGAGACGTGGATACCAAAGTACAAAAGCTTTATTTCAACAATAATAAAATACTAACCTTAAAAATCATTAAACTGTAGACCGGATTAGATTTACAAACGTAGAATACACACGTAACTAACAAAAACCGAGGCTTACCTATGGCAGGTAAGCTAGTTTACTGAGCGCGAGGCTCCTATATTGCAAAAATCTAACCACCAGGTGCATAGATCTCACTACACCATACACACACACACACTATAAGATTAAGCGCGAACACACTGCATTCCGTGACAGAGTCCCACCACCGCACACGAGGGCCTACTATCGGCCTGCCTGGAAGCCTCGGTTCCTGCAATAGAAGACCAAATAATCTCAAAACAAAAGAAATAATGCTAACAATTGTACAATGCTTACACTTAAATACAAAATCCAAAAGAAAATCAAAACACCTGCTATGAGGTTAAATGTCTCATCAAATCGAGGTAGATGTTCCTTACAATTTCATATAAACATACCAATAAAGTAAACAAAAATACAAACAAACCCAGATCAAGCGGAGCAAAAAATAAATCTAGATAAAGCAAAATCACACTAAAACAAGGTTAAATCATAAGAAACAAAATTACAAAAGAAACACAAAAGCAAATACGGACTAAAGAACAAATACAAACACAAAGCAAGAGTAAATAAATCAGCAATAAACAAAACAAATGCACATAGAAAAACTGGTCTAACGGAGGAGGCCGATACACAGCGCAAACACACGCCAAAGAGCAGTTTTAAGTCGCAAGGACTAAAGTCAACAAAGCAGCAGCATCAAAGAATGTTGCCCCGCAGGCTGCACTGAATGCAATGGATCCTAATCGAACTATTCCTCCTGAAAAGAATTAACCGTGAAATTATTTACCACCTAAAATACTATACCTCAATAGCGGTAGTTGCACATACCTTCCTGTTGTCGCTATAGTCACGAGTCCGGTCGCACACGCAAACGGACATAAACACGGCGAAAAATGCACGGGATTACAGCCGGAGCATGTTGGATGAGAAAGACAGCCGCCGACTAACCACTATGACGTTTGCCCGTCGGAAAACTACAATCCGAATAAAACTAGTTACTTCAAGCAGACCTCTCGATGCTCACTAGTTCGCAGACACATAGGTACCTGTGAGAAGGGAAGAGCCGAAACTGGAATGGGCGGGCCTCGGGCAGTGACGCACAATCGGTGCTCCAACACACAACGGTGCCTTAAAAGTCCCCTTTTATATACCCGTGAAAGTATATGATTGGACAACTCATGCATTCGTGGCATATTTAACGAACCAATGCACCCACTGTCCATCCCACTACAATCACATATCAGCTTGTGATATCTCATTTTGCTTTCAAACACTGACACTAAACAGCATGCAAATATATAAGTTTATGACTGGTTGACTGTTGCTAAATAACTTTTAAGCATTGTGCCGCTTCACACTTCATACCTTTTGTTTGAATTCAATGCTAACCCTAGAAGGTTAAAAACAGTGCTAGCCCTAAAATCACAATTGTGAGACTCTGCTCTAAAGTGACATTAAAGAGACGATAACCCAGGATTAAGCACAGTGTGAAACACCCTTGAGAGTGCTTGTTTGAATTAACTATTGAAGAGCAATTCCCTAAATGCAAAGAGAGGAGGACAGGGTGAGTGTGTGTGTTTATCAGTGCACTTTAGGTCTCAGATGTCTTGGACTGTCTCTAGGCCTGACATTGCCCTGAGCCCTCTGATGTCAATGTCCCCATCACTTAGAAGCCAGCCATACATACACATGACGACCTGTCGCTACCAGGGCAACCTGTCACCTAGCAACACCTGCAGGCCAGTGACACCTGTCCTCACTGCCTCTCCAATCTCACCCTGTCTACCCCCATTTCACCCCGATGGCATGCTGTCACACCCCTGTGTCATCTTATGACAACCTTATGCATGCTGTCATGGACTTTGTCAAGTGGTGGCAGGGCAATACAGCATGTCCTAATTTGTACGGGAGCAAAGAGGAGAATCCATGGCAGGAAATGAGCTAATATCTTAAAGGTCCCATGGCATGAAAATGTCACTTTATGAGGTTTTTTAACATTAATATGAGTTGTTCCCCTAGCCTGCCTATGGTCCCCCAGTGGCTAGAAATGGCGATAGGTGTAAACCGAGCCCTGGGTATCCTGCTTTGCCTTTGAGAAAATGAAAGCTCAGATGGCCCAATCTGGAATCTTCCCTTTATGTCGTCATACGGGGAAAGGTTACCTCCCCTTTCTCTGCTTTGCCCGCCCAGAGAATTTGGCCCGCCCATGAGAAAATGAGCTACTACCGTGCGAGGCGAGCGCAATATTTTTTTTCCCCGAGAGACATCATGGCTTGCAAACGAGCGAAGCATGGCAGTTGCCCCGCCTCTCTCCTCCTCATTAGCATTTAAAGCTACAGACA